GTGAGTGCCCGAGAGACACCTGCACCCCGCCTTTGTACCGGCTGCGTCTCCCCCGTCGTCGCATCGGCTGTGTCTCACCGAGCCGACGTCTTAATATCGTGTCTTCGAGGCTGGCAACTGAATACAGTGGCCGTCTTTCTACACTGCTAAGCCCTTTATGGCGGTGACAGTGTGTACGCAATGCCTGGCTGCACGGATGTTTTCTTTGTGTTAGTGACAATGTTAGTTCTCTGCTCAATGACGTTTTTTTTTTTTTTTTTTCTTTTTTTTCTTTTCTTTTTCTTTTTGAGGGGGGGTTGGAGGAGGGGGAGGGAAGGGAGGGAGCGACCTCTTTTATTTAATTTTATTATTAGTTTTTCGTCATTTTTTTTTATTTGTCTTTGTTTCATCGTTCATAGGTTGTCTTGTGTTTCATTTTATCTTCTGTAGCTTTATGGAATTATCTCTTCTCGGAGTGTCTCTTGTCTCCCATTTTCTTGTCTTCTATGCTAGCCTCTCGTCGATTTCTCACGTCGCGTCTTTTATCAGTGTTTGAGATTCTATGGTATTCATCCGATATTTTCCTTGTCTTGTTTTATTCCTCCCTTTTCATCTTCTCTCTCTCTCTCTCTCTCTCCTTCTCTCCTCTCCTCTCTCTCTCTCTCTTCTCTCTCTCTCTCTCTCTCTCTCTCTCTCTCTCTCTCTCTCTCTCTCCTCTCTCTCTCTCTCTCTCTCTCTCTCTCTCTCTTTCTCGTGTGTGTCATTTGTGTGTGTGTGTGCGTGTGTGTGTGCATGTTTGTGTATCTCTCTCTTCAGCTCTCCCCTCTTCCGCTTTTATCCGACTCGCTTCCCTTCCACGTCCTTCTTCTCCTTTCGAAGCCTTAAGGAAGATCTGCTGCGAATTTAGACCGCGTGCAATTTCCCTCGTTCGCTGGGCACTCGGGTATTGCGGGGATATTTCGAGAGGTTTGGGTTATTTGTTTATTTATCTATTTTTATTTGTCTTTTTTATTTATTTATTTTATTTTTTATTTTTTTTTTATTTCATTTGTTTTTATTTTTTATTTTTTATTTTTGCGTGTTGTTTTGTTGTCATTCTGGGTGTCGCTTGTTAGTTATGTGTTAGAAGGAATATGATTAATGGAAAATTTATGTGCTTTATTTTTTCTTTTTCGTTGATATTACCGTTGTCCGTGTGTTTTTTTTCCAGCTTTGTCTTATTTTTCTGATGTCTTTTTATTGCGATTTTCTTTTCTCTTTCTCTTTATTCTGCACTTTCCTCCTCCCCTTCTATTTCCCACCTTCCTCTTTCACTTGAGCATTATAAGTTTTTCCTTCTTTTTCTTTTTTTCCTCTCCTCTCTCTCTCTCTCTCTCTCTCTCTCTCTCTTTTTCTCTCTCTCTCTCTCTCTCTCTTCTCTCTCTTCTCTCTCTCTCTCTCTCTCTTTCTCTCTCTCTCTCTCTCTCTCTCTCTCTCTCTCTCTCTTCTCTCTCTCTCTCTCTCTCTCTCTTCTCTCTCTTCTCTTTTCTCTCCTCCTCTCTTCTCTCCTCTTCCTCTTCCTCTTCCTCCTTTCCTCTTCCTCTTCCTCTTCCTCTCCTCCTCCTCCTCCTCCTCCTTCTCCTCCTTAACCCCAGCTTCAGCTTTTTCTCTTTCTCTCCCCTCCTCCTCCTTTCTCCTTTTTCTCCTACCCATCTTCCTCCCATCCTTCCTTCACTTATTCCGGCTTGGCGATTCCGAGCCGAGGCCGAGGCTGTGAGGGGGCGCTGGCAACATAAGACGGACCGAACTGTTGTTGGAAGTGACGGACCAATTATGTTGTCCGTGTGAGGGTATGTGGCAGCCTGGAAGTGGAAGGGGAAAGAGGGGAAAGGGGAGGGAAGAAGAGGGGGAGAAAAGGGGGAAAGTGGAGGGGAAAGGAGAGGGGAGGGGAGAAGAGGGGAAGGAGAGGGAAGAGGGGGAGAAAGAAGGAAAGGAGAGGGGAGAAGACGGGGAAAGGGGAGAGAAGAATAGCGGGAATGAGGGAAGGGGTAGGGGAGAAAGAGGGAAAAAAGAGGGAAGGAGGGAAAGAGGGGGAAATTAGGAAAGGGGAGGGAAGAAGAGCGGGAAGCAGGGAAAGGGGAGGGGGAGAAGAAGGGGAGAAAGAGGGGAAAGGGAGAGAAGAGGAGGAGAAAAAAGGGAAAGGGGGAAGGAGGTGAGAGGTTTTGCTTGAGGAAGGGATGTGAGGAGAGGAAAGGGGGAGGGGACGGGAGGAGAGAAGAGGAAACGGTGTGTTTATAGGGAGAGTGGAAAAGGGGAAAGAGAATAGGGTGGGGAAGGAATGAGGAAAGAGAAGAAATAATTAGGACGGGGTAGAGGAAGGGGAAAGGGTGAAAGGGGGAAGGATAGCTTGGGGAGCGAATAGGGAAGAAGGGTAAGCGTGATAAAAGGGATTGGAGTAAAGGGGAAAGATGGCTTGGGGGATTGAAGTTGAGGGGATGAAAGGGGGAGGCAAAGGGAGGGAAAGAAAAGGTAAAGAGATAGTTTGGGACTGAAGGTGAGGGGCAGATAGGGGAAGGGGTGGCTTAAAAGAAGGAATAGAATGATGATTGTAATTATAATAACAATGAATATAATAAATTATAATGTTAATGAATAATATGATAATAATAACAATGATAATAATAACAATGATAAATAACAATGATAATAGTAATATAATAATAATAAATAATAATAATAATAATAATAATAGAAGGGGAGAGAGGAAAGAGCTGGCTTGGGGAGGGGGGAAAGTTAATAAAATGATGCGGGAATGGAATAGGGATAAGGGAAATAGGTGGAGTAAAGGGGAGGAACAAGAAGGGAAGAGAAACAGGGAAGAAGGCGTAGGAAAAAAAGGATAAGAGTGGAAGGAGGAGAAGGAGAAGAGATGACTCGGAAGAGTAAGAAGAGATGATAAAGAAGGGTCATAGAAGCTAGGAAGGAAGAAAGGGAAGGAGAGGGGACGAAAAGAAGGAGGAAAGAAAGAGGGCAAGAGCGGCAAGGAAGAAGTGATAAGGAGATGATTTCTGGAAGGAAAAGAAGGATAGAGAAAACGAGGCGAAGGCAGATGGGGAAGAAGAGGAAGGGGAACAAAGTGAAAGGAAGAAGGATGATGTCAAAGAGGCTCCGAAGGAATGGGGTTAAGAGAAGAGGGGAGAATAGGGAGGGGAGGGGAAAGGAGGAGGGTATGGTGCCACGGGCGAGGGAGATGATCAGACGCACCTGGGGGGGGGGGGGAGTGGGTATGTGGATGGGGGGGGGGGAGGGGGACTTGTGTGTGTTTTTGTGTAAGTTAGAGTATATGTGTGTGATTCTGTGTGTGTGGTGTGTGGCGTGCGTACGTGCGTGCGTGTATGCTTTATATATGTGTATGATTGTGTAGGTGCGTGTGTGTGTGTGTGTGTGTGGTGTGTGCGTGCATGCGTACGTACGTGCACGCAATCTTCCCCTTTGTCCTGAAATCCCCGGCAACTCGGATCACATTCGCCCCATAAGACTAGAGCCAATCGGGCCGAGGGTATTTACGCCGAACGCCGCCTCGCTGACACAGGAAGGACATTAGCCCAAGCATGCGCCTCCGATCTCCATATTGTCGTATATCGGGAAGGCTTCGCGCGGATGACACTTCGCCGAGGGGGAGGAGAGGGCTCGGGAAAGGCTCCGCTAGTGCAGGTTAATGTCTCCTTTCGAGGAGGCGCTTGCTATGTTATTCGAGCCAGAGCGTGGCTGTGGATGTATATATATATATATATATATATATATATATGATAGATATAGATAGATAGATAGATATGATAGATTACATATATATATATATATATATATATATATATATATATATATATAATATTATATTATATTATATTATATATGTATATATGTATTATCACACACACACACAAACACACACACTTAAACACACATACAAATACACACACACACACAGATATATGCGTATATATAATATATATATATATATATATTATATATATATAATATAATATATAATATATATATATATATATATATATATATATACTTTTATCTCACATCGATGCAAACCATACCTCAACTAGGTAGCGCAGATTGGGGAAGACCTGCGTCCAACTACGGATTTTAAGAGAGTGAAAGATACATATATATATATATATATATATATATATATAATATATATATTATATATATATATATATATATATATATATATATATATATGTATTATATAAGAATGGAATGCAATGACATGCACATTAAAAGTAACTAATATGATAAAAATTGCAGCGATAATGATAATTGGCTTACGATAAACGGATATCTCAGTAAAGATCATCAGCTGGCATCATTATGCTAGTGCTGGCGATTAAGGAAGTGGAATACAGATTAATATCCTTGGTTATCAGATGAAATGTACCCTGGAATGTGTGCACGCGCTTACCCCGAAAAGTTGAAGTTAGAAAAATGCCGAAGGACCATCATTAATACACTGGGTAAACAGCATTAGATATTGCATTTTTTCCCCTCTCTCATTGGCTAATTGTTTGGACTGAATATTGCCGGGAACAAGGGAGGTCGGATGAGAGGGTATTCCTACACAGGGCGACATTAAGGTTTTATCGTTATTGCTACTTGTTTTTCTTTTCCTCTCTCTCTTTCTCTCTTTTTATTTAACTTTTTTGGTGAATGGATGAACGCGTACAGTTTTTTGTGAATTAACGGTGCTTTCGTGAGAGAAATTCACGGACGCATCAACACGCTAACGTTCAAGGGGGGGGGGGGATGTTAACGTGGCGGTAATGAAACGTGGCGTGCGTGAACCGTAGATTTTTGGGGATTGTTGTCTCTTCCTGGCGATCCGTGAAGGCGACACGTTTCGGGGCCAGATTAGACCCCGGGAGCTCACGGGAAGGGTGTAGGGGTCCTGGCAGTTGGCCCTAAACTCCTGTCTTCCTCGCCGGGGAAGAGTTGTCCTCCTCGCGACCTCGTGTCCTGGGGAGGGTGCG